GGGTCAGGGTCAGGGTCAGGGTCAGGGTCAGGGTCAGGGTCAGGGTCAGGGTCAGGGTCAGGGTCAGGGTCAGGGTCAGGGTCAGGGTCAGGGTCAGGGTCAGGGTCAGGGGCAGGGTCAGGGTCAGGGTCAGGGTCCTGGGTCCTGGGTCAGCCGGGGGGTCAATTGTCGGGGGTAAATTGTCGGGGGTCTATTGTCGGGGGGTTATTTGTCGGGGGCTCAATTGTCGGGGGGTCAATTGTCGCCCACCCTTCTGTTGAAGCCCTATTTTGCCTTAATAAGGAATTAAGGAACAATACAATGACTCTATATGGACACGAAAAAAGCTCAATGTATATGCTACAATTCTCGAAGTATCCTGCAATTCTAGGAATTGAAAAAATGTCTGTCCTTTCAGAGCAATTGAACTAACAGTAGCAATACGACGAACACAATAACTGCCTACAAATACACTAATAAACGGTCAATGCCCGGAAATTTCTCACAGTTAGCCAAGGTCGAACACAGCACTAAGCAGGGTGGGGCACAAGGAACGAATAGGGCACAACAATGAGTCTTATCTAAAACAAATAATATGAGAACGAAGACTATGTCGTCTAAATACTATAAAACGTTTACAAACCTGATAACTTGGGGTTGAGGAGAGAGTCTTCACAAGATAGATACCAGTTAGAAAGTAGTTGCTCGAATAAGTTGTTGTGATCCTGTACTTCTTATCACTGAAATTCTCCGCGTGAGTTTTTTATTTTACAGCTTTACAATAGGACGCGGGCAGTCGTATTCTAAAATGGTACTAACTCAGATGTCCCTCACATAAATGGAGGAATTAATTAATTGATATTAAGTAGGTAATTAACTAATCAAGAACAGCCCCGTAGCCAAGATAAGAAGATAATCTGCCATGGCAGGCGAGTCCGACCGGACAGCTAGGGCCAGGGGACGTAAAGCCGAATGAAACATTTTGAGAGAATTTGAGAATATTTCCACGTTATCCTGCATTTTCCACGTTATCCTGCATTTTCCACGTTATCCTGCATTTTGCCTTAGCTTTTTGAAAAAAAGGCCTCGATTTATGTGAGGGACATCTAAGCCCAGCAGATATTGGTACTGAGGCATCTAATAAAGGGTGTCAAGAGTCGGAAACTGCCAGCTGTTCTGACATTTATAAACTTTAAGAAGGCTTTCTACAGTGTACATCGTGGGAAAATGCTCAAGATTCTAGAAGCTTACGGCATTCCAGTCAAAATCGTACAGCTTATACGGCTCATGTACGAGAAGACAACGGCCAAAGTCCTAATATAACTCCAGACGGAGAAACTGTTGTTTGAGGTACTTGCAGGTGTGTTACAGGGTGAAACCTTAGCACCTTACCTTTTTGCAATAGTCATCGACTACTGTATGAGGCAAGCCATAGGTGATGATGCGGAGCGACTTGGACTCACTCTCGAACGTAAAAAAAGCAGAAGAGTGGGGCCCAAGATCATCACCGATGTGGACTTTGCAGATGATATACCACTTATTTCTGAGGACATGGACAAGGCCAACGAGTTCCTCAGTTCCTGCTCCGAGTAGAATCGCGGCGGCAGCGAGCGTATGGCTACACTTAAACGAAGGCAAGAGGATGATGATTAATCACTCTACACTCGACTGTCACGTGACTTTTTCAACCCGTTCTCTAGCTGGCCCTGAACGACTATTCGAAACCCTAACCCTCTTATCTGATCCCAACCCTAACCCTAACCCAATCCCTAACAAAAGCATATGCTGAAACCCTAACCGAACGAGCAATTCGACTAACTTCCTTATACGCACGGTCATATCACGTGATCAAGACAGTTTTTCGCCAATATCTTGGCAGGGGAGCATTTTAACCCTATGTCATGGGGTGTGATTTTGAATCAAAGTCCGAAAATACATCGATTTAAGCTGTTTTCAACTGTCGGGGGCCCTTTAAGAACAATCTCGAAGATCGACTGATTTAGCACGCTCAAAGGCAAGACCAAGGTAATGACATTGAAATTTGAATATGGAGGATCGATCTAGCGACCTCTAAAGCATGAGGTGCCCTACAATGTAAGTTACATAGCACAGATAGGGAGATAAGGGTTAGAAAGGGAAAAGCATGGGGTGCCCTACATAGACTGAAGGATATTTGGAAATTCAAACCCTGAAAGAGCCTTAAGATTAGATTGTTCATAGCGGCTTGTGATCAGTATGCAGTACTGCTCTACGGATCAGAAACCTGGAAACTGACGAATAGAAGGCTCAAGAGAAAAGTTTGGACGGGACATACACAAAGATGCTGCGTATGGCGCTGGGTATCTCATGGAAGAACAAGGTCAGCAATATAACTTTGTATGGTAGCCTACCAAGGCATCAGTTATTCAATTATGCAATTGACTGACGCCGAGTAGGGTTACGAAGCAGGAGATTAAAAATGGCAGGACACTGCATCAGACATCCTAAGCTACTTGCTAGTGATTTAGTCTTATGGGAACCTATGCATGGTAGAGCACAGCAAGGCCGACCAAGACAAAGCTACTTGTCTATGTTACTGAAGGAAGTTGTGACAAACTCTAAAGAGGAACTGCGAACCCTGATGCGGGACAGGAATATATATGGATGGGGTTATCTGGCGCTTCGCCAAGTTCCTGCCTTAATCTTATTGCTGGCTACGTGGCTGATCAAGAACCAATAATTGTGGGAGAAAGATTGAGATTTGAGCTGTCTAGATACTGAGTATCTTATCGCTTTAAAATAGCGTGCTGGCAGTCGTATTCTTAAATGGTATTGGCACTTACTTAGAAATAGATGTCCCTAAAATTAATCAGCATATTAAAAAGTAATATAAAAGAAAGATTAAGTTGTTTTGTAAAACATTCACAAACCTGATATTTGATAACCTGGGGTAGGACGAAGTCTTCACAAGGTCAAGATAGATTAGTTAGGAATAAGGAAACAGGTTTCTTCTCAAAATTGTTTTTCAAAGTTTCTTGAAACTCAGTCACTGAAAAGATTTTCAATCAAAAACCATTGAAAAAGGTGTACCAGAAGTTATACTTATAACATGTAAAATCCGGATTGGAGTATTGTTTATAAGTCGCCTGGTTGCGACTAATTGTATAAATTTGTATTGATCCCGTTTGAAGTTATAACGGCTGTACATGTAAAGTGTAAGTGTCCCAGGCCCCCAAATTGCCCACAAACACATAACTTAACTGGGGCGTAAAGTCCCTATTATTGGAGATGTACTAAATTGTAAGTGCTCCAGGCCCCAGCTATGCCAGGTGAAAATCTATATTAAATCACGGTACTTTCCAGTATCAGCCATAATAACCCAACTGAGACTAATATAACATCTGCATTGTATTGGTAATTTATATTTTGTAGTAAGTTACACGAAAAAAAGAAAAAGAAACAGTACTCACTACCCCGAGTTTATAGCTGAATTTAGCTACACTCGGGGTAGTGAGTAGCTGAATTTAGCTGAGTTTTATAACTTAAGAAAGTCTCTTTACTATAAATATTCCACGTACCTGCCAAGAAGTATAAGTGTCTCGTCAACAAAGATGCGTCGATTTAAACAAGCTAATAAATCAGGCCAGGTTTAGTGTAAGCTTACAAAGACACGAAATCAAGAATTAGAAATGAGTCACAAGTCACAACGAGCTGACGAACCAAACAATTCGGATGTAGATTACAGGCATTCCAGAGTACAGGAACATGATTAAATGCGTCACGTGCACTTCACGTGACCCGTCCGAGAGCTCAGAATAACGAGTTTAATGTCAGCAGGTAAGGTAACGTGACATTTCATTAGATCACTGCGGTATTATATTACCTACCTACATGGAGCTGAGAGTACTAAACACTTATCTAGCTGGCGAGTATTAGCCTGTAGCAGAACGGAATTGAGCTCTGTAATTTGTAGGTAATTGTTGTTGTGTAGCTGAGCTGCTCATATCGCATAATACAATTAAACTGTGTCACAAAGTTAGGGGTTTTGTGACAATCTAAGGATTTGTAGTGACAAAGCAAAAACTTGACAAATCATTTGGAGCAATGAGTTGTATATAAGTGACGTACGCTGCTGCAAGCTGCTGACACCTTGACAAAAGCTTCTCACGCTATTGTGCTTTTTATGGAGAAATACGTTAGTAGCGATTTTGAGCTTGTTATTCTCTTTCAAAAGTATTCCAAGTGATTTGTATAAGTGCATATATTGACTCTGAATACATAGCAAAATAATTTTCCTCGATTCATGAAGTTTGAAAGAAGTTACAGCAATGCGCGCAATTTGGGGAGTGTGCTTTTGGCGGAGATATAAACTGCGCCTATATAATTTATATAGGCGTAGATTATAATACGTATAAGTGACACGCTGCTGTATATATAGTAAGCTGCTGAAACTCTTTAAGTTTATTGCGTGAGACAAATTAGAATGAGGGAAGCTAGATTTCCCATAAAAGTTGGATAACGTGCCGGACGACGCTCATTATATAGACCACCGTATTGCAGACTGCAGAGTTATGTCTATCTTGTTTGTTAGTTTGTTCGTTATTATTTGTAACTGCTGAATGTTTAATGTGGTGGAGTGGTACCTGTCAAGTCATCACTTATTACTCAATATAATACAGTGTTCTATATATTACTCAATATACTACTATACTACTATACTATATATTACTCAATATACTACTATACTACTATACTATATATTACTCAATATACTACTATACTACTATACTATATATTACTCAATATACTACTATACTACTATACTATATATTACTCAATATACTACTATACTACTATACTATATATTACTCAATATACTACTATACTACTATACTATATATTACTCAATATACTACTATACTACTATCCTATATATTACTTAATTCTACGAACATTAGACATTAATACAACGATTATTGCCCGTAACCCACCACCTTTATATTTAATTAGAGAATTATTTATTTATTTATATTTGAATAATAATATTAGACATTAGTAAGACTCCTCTTTTCTAACACATGAGTTCTTAGAGTAAACGTTAACGGAGCGCTATCAGCTCAGTTTCTGAGTCTGCTGGGCGCTTTTCAGGGTGACTGCCTATCTGGGTGTCTGTTTACACTTGTACTTGCAGGTGCACTATCTGGGTGTCTGTTTACACTTGTACTTGCAGGTGCAATCTGTGAACTCCGAACCATCCTCGCATACTACAATGGGCAGGCCAGATCCACCCATCACTAGTCGAGGCCTTCCCCTTGACACTGAGTATGCAGATGATGTCGACTTCAATGATGGAGATGAAGACAACCTGAAGCGCATTTTGCCTGCGGCAACTTATGTCCTGAAGCGTTCTATAATTGTTTTTATGCTTTTATGAACTGCGATATTATGTACATTTTACTTCATATTACTTCATATTCAAACCTCCTTTCCTGCATCATTTTACACAAGGCCGGAGTGCACCTAATCTTCACACCATGATTCATGCTGTTTCATACTTTACACCTTCGTCGTTTTTCAATTGAGAGGAATAAATGTTACGAATTGAAGGGCACTTATTTCTATACTATTTTACAGTCGATCCCAGCTTTTCTCATGACCAAGTGACACCAAGCTCAGTAAGTATATCATGACGATACTGGAAACTTCTGGGGGTTACAAGTTATCGTCATGTATTATTTAACTATTCAATTATAAAAGCATGAAGACCTTATGGCTTATAGTATTCCGTAATGACTGCAATCACCTTCGGATTGCAGGTTGCATGTCTAGGTTCCTTCTATTATGTCGAGGGGGAAAGATGCATGAGACCACCTACTCCACGATGGCATCTGACAAAATACAATACCTGTACTGTATCGCTCACACATCATTAACAAAATAATAATTAACTATCACTCCTTAAATTCCAAAATCAAGCGGAGAAGAACTGTTGTGACGCGCAAAGATAATACTTTACTCGCATTTATGTCGCGAGGAGACGGCGCCAGAAAGATAAATCAGAAGATGGTCGGTTTTTGGCGTGGTCTAATGTAACCCGAATTATGTATTTATTTAGTTACTTTACCTTGAGCTTGACTAAGAATAACTCTTATTTCATTCAGCATAAACTTTGATAAAATAACAGATTTTGTTGGTGCTAGGATTGCAGTACAAGCTTCTTTTTTTCAACTAATCAAGTCAGGCTGTGCGAAAAACCATCGCTTTCCTAAATCGTACCACAAACAAAATCTGTTCGAATTATCTGTACAACATTCTCAATTCTTAAAATATTTCTCAATCCCTAATTACATTTATTATCCTCAGCAGCTTGCAAGCGAAATTAACAAATCATATCAAAGATACCATATCAGAATACCTACCTATTGATTAAATAATTAATACAACTTGTTAAACAATTGGTTCTTTATATTTTGTATTATACACTTTCTCATAGATAAAGGTTAAAAGCAAGTTTCGACAAAACTCTCAGCAAAATTTATTTACACAGGAGAAATCAAAAAATAAACAAAATGGCGTGAATATGGTTTGAACATTTTTACAAAAGCAAAGTCTCCCATAGAAATAAACCAGTCCATTTAACTTTCCAATAGATGTGGATACTGGCGGGGAGGTGATAATTGTTTGACATGTTAAGCAGGCTGATGAGGTGATACATATTTTGTATTATAGAAGGCTTGTAATACTTGTAACGCCTTCTTGTTACCCCCCTCACTTTTAATGTAAACAAACAATTATCACCTCCCCGCCAGTATCCACATCTATTAATCACCCAATTAATTGCTCCTTCATAATATTTCCCATCTATATTACAAATTAAAGACTGTGCTCATCTTCGTTTTCGTCTCGATTACTTCCCATTTCTACGTCCGTGTGCCATTTATCGGTACGTTCCTGCATTTCGTTACATGCTGCTCTGATTTCTTGTTGCGTGAACCGCTTTCTGATCAAATATATCCATCTTATACATGTTATATTGCAACCGAGCAATCAGTTTACATTTTTGTGGTATCGCAACCAAAGGAAAACCAACTCTATGAAACAAGAATAATATCCAGATTGAGGACGAACCGGAAGAAAGGAATGTATAACAAGAATAATATCCAGATTGAGGACGAACCGGAAGAAAGGAATGTATAACAAGAATAATATCCAGATTGAGGACGAACCGGAAGAAAGGAATGTATAACAAGAATAATATCTAGATTGAGAACGAACCGGAAGAAAGGAATGTATAACAAGAATAATATCCAGATTGAGGACGAACCGGAAGAAATGAATGTATAACAAGAATAATATCCAGATTGAGGACGAACCGGACGAAAGGAATGTATAACAAGAATAATATCAAGATTGAGGACGAACCGGAAGAAAGGAATGTATAACAAGAATAATATCAAGATTGAGGACGAACCGGAAGAAAGGAATGTATAACAAGAATAATATCAAGATTGGGGACGAACCGGAAGAAAGGAATGTATAACAAGAATAATATCAAGATTGAGGACGAACCGGAAGAAAGGAATGTATAACAAGAATAATATCCAGATTGAGGACGAACCGGAAGAAAGGAATGTATAACAAGAATAATATCCAGATTGAGGACGAACCGGAAGAAAGGAATGAAGTATTTCTCGTCCCATTTGCTCCATCCTGTAGCTACCTGCCCTAAATCAACATCATCTATATTCATACTCCTGCCAAACTCTACAGTTTTACTCAACATGTACTCGTCCGATCCGACTGAAATGTAAGTCACTTAAAACAAGGTCACTCAAATCAATTTCTTTAATTCTGTAAAACAAGCCTGCACATTTTAAACGTATCCCGAATCCCGTATAGTAGGGATTTTTACACGTGCACATTTAGTACGTACCTGCACGTGGGGAAGTCTGCACGTACACATTTAGTACGTACCTGCAGGTGGGGAGGTCTGCACGTGCACATTTAGTACGTACCTGCAGGTGGGGAGGTCTGCACGTGCACATTTAGTACGTACCTGCAGGTGGGGAAGTCTGCACGTGCACATTCAGTACGTACCTGCACGTGGGGAAGTCTGCACGTACACATTTAGTACGTACCTGCAGGTGGGGAAGTCTGCACGGGCACATTTAGTACGTACCTGCAGGTGGCGAGGTCTGCACGTGCACATTTAGTACGTACCTGCAGGTGGGGAAGTCTGCACGTGCACATTTAGTACGTACCTGCAGGTGGGGAGGTCTGCACGTGTACGTACTCCCCTTCCTCCCCAGTCAGAGAGAAGACAGTATCGTCTGAACTCTGCAGGTTCTGCCGGTCTTCACTCTCTAGACGGGTCCGTCCCGTCTGTCTGTCTGTCCAGTATTGTACTAACTGAAGTTAAAAGTGGGTTATAAGTTTATTCTACTACTAGAGTATATTAAGTATATTGAGTTAAAAGTGGGTTATAAGTTTATTCTACTACTAGAGTATATTGAGTATATTGAGTTTTAAATAGTTTAAATAATTTAAATCCAGCAGACTTTGGAATCATCCCATAACAATAGTAAAATTCAATAGTAAAATTGTGTTGTACTAGGCTATCCATTTTTAAACGAATTATCGGAGATGATTATTGGTTACGATTATCGGAGTGGATAGCCTATGTTGTACGTAATTATGAGTCAGACAGAGTAAGTGGTTATGCATGATGTAACACGTTGTATTGTACTACAAAAATATCACTTGTAGTTACGATTTACCTAAATTATTGCAACTTCTGTGTACTTTAAAAATGAAAATAATCAATGTAACGATAAATTAAAGTTGTAAGCCCATAGGGTTTCTCAGAACATGAACAAATTAAACACAGTTTAGTTAAGCAGGGGGAGGGGGGTTACGAACCCCCTTCATTTGGGGGAGGGGGTTACGAACCCCTTCATTTGGGGGAGGGGGGTTACGAACCCCCTTCATTTGGGGGAGGGGGGTTACGAAACCCCTTCATTTGGGGGAGGAGGGTTACGAACCCCCTTCATTTGGGGGAGGGGGTTACGAACCCCCTTCATTTGGGGGAGGGGGTTACGAACCCCCTTCATTTGGGGGAGGAGGGTTACGAACCCTCTTCATTTGGGGGAGGGGGTTACGAACCCCCTTCATTTGGGGGAGGGGGTTACGAACCCCCTTCATTTGGGGGAGGAGGGTTACGAACCCCCTTCATTTGGGGGAGGGGGTTACGAACCCCCTTCATTTGGGGGAGGGGGTTACGAACCCCCTTCATTTGGGGGAGGGGGTTACGAACCCCCTTCATTTGGGGGAGGAGGGTTACGAACCCCCTTCATTTGGGGGAGGGGGGTTACGAACCCCCTTCATTTGGGGGAGGGGGTTACGAACCCCCTTCATTTGGGGGAGGGGGTTACGAACCCCCTTCATTTGGGGGAGGGGGTTACGAACCCCCTTCATTTGGGGGAGGGGGTTACGAACCCCCTTCATTTGGGGGAGGGGGGTTACGAACCCCCTTCATTTGGGGGAGGGGGGTTACGAACCCCCTTCATTTGGAGGAGAGGGGTTACGAACCCCTTCATTTTAGAGTCTTTGAAATTTCCATGACGTGTAAAATGTTCACTCTCTGGAATTCTCAATACAAAAGAGAAAGAAACACGTGAACAGTGTTAACAACATTCTACATTCTACATTCTTCAGTGTATACCCTAATATAGATTAAAGTCCCTATGACATATCACACATAGTTTGATGAGGTCACGTGAGCGTTAAACACACTCAGGCTTATTATACATTCCATTATAAGTACCCTCATTATAATAGTACTTTTCATTATAATAATGTATAAATAGTACCTTTCAGAATCAGAGTAAGAACTATTGACAAGTATTTATCCAAGAAAATGATACTAATTACAAAGTGTTATTACTAATTACTAATGATACTAATTACAAAGTGTTATTACTAATTACTAATGATACTAATTACAAAGTGTTATTACTAAATACTAATGATACTAATTACAAAGTGTTATTACTAATTACTAATGATACTAATTACAAAGTGTTATTACTAATTACTAATGATACTAATTACAAAGTGTTATTACTAATTACTAATGATACTAATTACAAAGTGTTATTACTAATTACTAATGATACTAATTACAAAGTGTTATTACTAATTACTAATGATACTAATTACAAAGTGTTATTACTAATTACTAATGATACTAATTACAAAGTGTTATTACTAAATACTAATGATACTAATTACAAAGTGTTATTACTAATTACTAATGATACTAATTACAAAGTGTTATTTTAAAACTGTAAACTCGCCTTTATCATTGGGTTAGTAGCACCGCCCATGAACACAATAGTAAAAAGCACAATAACAAGGGTTGTGCTGACTAGAACCTTCTTTGTTTCTTCATCAAAGGGCAAATGTAAGGCTAGAGCAAATGCTATCGCTCCACGCAGGCCTGAAAAATAATAAATTGAACACTTGCGAATTTAACTCGTTCAATTATTGTTAAAAAGAACTGTGCTTTTTAAAAGTCTCATAGTTTGAGTGCCAAAATTGCCCAGGCTCCTGGGCTCCAGCGACTGAACCTTGACATAATCACTTGCTACTTTTTCACTGTCAATTCACCAAGATAATCCAGGTTTTCTGGTTACAGAATTACCCTCAATATCAAATAAAAGATAAATGAGAAACTGATCATGGTTTATCAGCAATAACGCTACAGTGTTACCATAGTTACACAGCTACATTGACTACTGCTAAATAACGCTACATTGTTACCATAGTTACACAGCTACATTGACTACTGCTAAATAACGCTACAGTGTTACCATAGTTACACAGCTACATTGACTACTGCTAAATAACGCTACAGTGTTACCATAGTTACACAGCTACATTGACTACTGCTAAATAACGCTACAGTGTTACCATAGTTACACAGCTACATTGACTACTGCTAAATAACGCTACAGTGTTACCATAGTTACACAGCTACATTGACTACTGCTAAATAACGCTACATTGTTACCATAGTTACACAGCTACATTGACTACTGCTAAATAACGCTACAGTGTTACCATAGTTACACAGCTACATTGACTACTGCTAAATAACGCTACAGTGTTACCATAGTTACACAGCTACATTGACTACTGCTAAATAACGCTACAGTGTTACCATAGTTACACAGCTACATTGACTACTGCTAAATAACGCTACATTGTTACCATAGTTACACAGCTACATTGACTACTGCTAAATAACGCTACAGTGTTACCATAGTTACACAGCTACATTGACTACTGCTAAATAACGCTACAGTGTTACCATAGTTACACAGCTACATTGACTACTGCTAAATAACGCTACAGTGTTACCATAGTTACACAGCTACATTGAATACTGCTAAATAACGCTTCAGTGTTACCATAGTTACACAGCTACATTTACTACTGCTAAATAACGCTACAGTGTTACCATAGTTACACAGCTACATTGACTACTGCTAAATAACGCTTCAGTGTTACCATAGTTACACAGCTACATTGACTACTGCTAAATAACGCTTCAGTGTAACCATAGTTACACAGCTACATTGACTACTGCTAAATAACGCTACAGTGCGTGAATTCGAAAATTGACTAAAACACTATTTTTCCAAATTTAATAATATGTCACGAAACAAAATCACCAAATTATAAAGTCACACAAACGTTTGAGCGAGGAAAGTACCCATTAATTTACTAATTAATTACACATCAGGGAATTAACTAATCAACTAATACTCTAGTAGCAGGGAGAGGATAAGATAAAACTGACTAACCACTGAACCACATTATGAACTGTTGTTGGGGTGTTATCTTTGTTTGTCTGAACCTGTTTGCCAGTAGAGATAGCAGCCCGATATTCAACCCTCTACCACCTAGACACAGTATCTGAAATTGTAGATTATGGTTTATTAAAAGCTCCAGTTTTAGTACATATACTGGTGGGACGTATTTGTTTTGACACGTGGCAGTTAGTCTGGGTTACACGTGGCAGTTAGTCTGGGTTACACGTGACAGTTAGTCTGGGTTACACGTGACAGTTAGTCTGGGTTACACGTGACAGTTAGTCTGGGTTACACGTGACAGTTAGTCTGGGTTACACGTGACAGTTAGTCTGGGTTACACGTGACAGTTAGTCTGGGTTACACGTGACAGTTAGTCTGGGTTACACGTGACAGTTAGTCGGGAAGTTTATTGGTTCATTTCTGTCACGTGTCAGAACAAACTCCTCAACACCTAGACACTTCAACAGTCATAAGATCTATTTAAGCTGCAGTATCAATGAGTACCACAGCTGAAGCACACACTTGTTTGCTAAACACGCCCCCCCCCCCCCCCCCTAAACACCTAGACACGCCCCCCCCCCCCCCCCCCCCCTTAACACCTAGACACTTCAAATAACGTCCACATTTATACCCGGTCACCTGATGACATGTTGTGTTGTAAGACGTTTGGTTAAGTAGGTTTGTGTAATCCACAGGAACCGTTACTGGTTTATATTTTATAGCAATAATCTAAATTGTATCGGGATAAAATAACGTTTATATTTTTATGTACAATATATACAATATATGTTATAATGATAACATGAGATGTACTTACAATGCTCCATACTATAAAGGCAGGTTGGAAGGAGTGAGTGAAGCTGAATATAGCCATCCCAAGATAGGCGAACACGCAGGACTCCGCTAAAAAGGCAAACGTTCGGAAAACTTGCTGAACTGTGACCTGCGATAGAGGGAGTAGGGTAGATTATTAGGGTAGATTATTAGGGTAGATTATTAGGGTAGATTATTAGGGTAGATTATTAGGGTAGATTATTAGGGTACATTATCAGGGTAGATTATTAGGTAGATTATTAGGGTAGATTATTAGGGTAGATTATTAGGGTAGATTATTAGGGTAGATTATCAGGGTAGATTATTAGGGTAGATTATTAGGGTAGATTATTAGGGTAGATTATCAGGGTAGATTATTAGGTAGATTATTAGGGTAGATTATTAGGGTAGATTATTAGGGTAGATTATTAGGGTAGATTATTAGGGTAGATTATTAGGGTAGATTATCAGGGTAGATTATCAGGGTAGATTATTAGGGTAGATTATTAGGGTAGATTATTAGGGTATATTATTAGGGTAGATTATTAGGGTAGATTATTAGGGTAGATTATTAGGGTAGATTATTAGGGTAGATTATTAGGGTAGATTATCAGGGTAGATTATTAGGGTAGATTATTAGGGTAGATTATTAGAGTAGATTATTAGGGTAGATTATTAGGGTAGATTATTAGTGTAGATTATTAGGGTAGATTATTAGGGTAGATTATTAGGGCAGATTATTAGGGTAGATTATTAGGGTAGATTATTAGGGTAGATTATTAGGGTAGATTATTAGGGTAGATTATTAGGGTAGATTATTAGGGTAGATTATTAGGGTAGATTATTAGGGTAGATTATTAGGGTAGATTATTAGGGTAGATTATTAGGGTAGATTATTAGGGTAGATTATCAGGGTAGATTATCAGGGTAGATTATTAGGGTAGATTATTAGGGTAGATTATTAGGGTAGATTATTAGGGTAGATTATTAGGGTAGATTATTAGGGTAGATTATTAGGGTAGATTATTAGGGTAGATTATTAGGGTAGATTATCAGGGTAGATTATTAGGGTAGATTATTAGGGTAGATTATTAGAGTAGATTATTAGGGTAGATTATTAGGGTAGATTATTAGTGTAGATTATTAGGGTAGATTATTAGGGTAGATTATTAGGGCAGATTATTAGGGTAGATTATTAGGGTAGATTATTAGGGTAGATTATTAGGGTAGATTATTAGGGTAGATTATTAGGGTAGATTATCAGGGTAGATTATTAGGGTAGATTATTAGGGTAGATTATTAGGGTAGATTATTAGGGTAGATTATTAGGGTAGATTATTAGGGTAGATTATTAGGGTAGATTATTAGGGTAGATTATTAGGGTAGATTATTAGGGTAGATTATTAGGGTAGATTATTAGGGTAGATTATTAGGGTAGATTATTAGGGTAGATTATTAGGGTAGATTATTAGGGTAGATTATTAGGGTAGATTATTAGGGTAGATTATCAGGGTAGATTTGTGTTGTGTGAGAATGGTGGGCAATATGATTTGAATGTACTGCCATTGTAACTTGACAGTTGACGGTTGAGTATTAAGAGTACCACTACTTATCTATACTATATTTCTCTACTTATTGAGTATGTATATACTCAATAAGTAGAGAAATATAGGGGGGGGGGGCAAGTAGAATAAAGTAGAGTAGAATTCGCAAAAAAATGGATGACATTCTACTCTTATCTACCTTAATCTACAAAACTTTGGGGGCCAACGTAGAATAAAGTAGGATAAAGTAGAATAAAGTAGAGTAGAATTCGCAAAAAAAATGGATGACATTCTACTTTTATCTACCTTAATCTACAAAACGTTGCCCCCCCCCCCCCCCCCCCAATATAGTATAGATAAGTAGTAGTACTTTTAATACTCAACCGTATTACTACTCAACCGTATTACTACTCGTTTATAAACGAATGTATAATCACTGATTCAATTAAAATATCACTGAATGTACACACACAGGATAATTGACACTAGTGACTATTGAGCTACAATGAGTATGAAAAGTAAAACTGAACTAGTGACTATTGAGCTACAATGAGTATGAAAAGTAAAACTGAACTAGTGACTATTGAGCTACTATGAGTATGAAAAGTAAAACTGAACTAGTGACTATTGAGCTACAATGAGTATGAAAAGTAAAACTGAACTAGTGACTGTTGAGCTACTATGAGTATGAAAAGTAAAACTGAACTAGTGACTATTGAGCTACAATGAGTATGAAAAGTAAAACTGAACTAGTGACTATTGAGCTACAATGAGTATGAAAAGTAAAACTGAACTAGTGACTATTGAGCTACTATGAGTATGAAAAGTAAAACTGAACTAGTGACTATTGAGCTACAATGAGTATGAAAAGTAAAACTGAACTAGTGACTATTGAGCTACAATGAGTATGAAAAGTAAAACTGAACTAGTGACTACCTTACTCGGGAATATTATAGCGGGTTAATTTATGACTGGGAAAATTAATAACCGGGAAAAATATGGCGGAATTTCCCAAAACCCGCCAAATTATCCCGGTCATGTATTTACCGGTGGCCGACCTTTCAAGTTTTTTTTCAGAGGTCAACAAATTTTCAACCGAAATTTCTGTTTTTGTTACTTGTTAAAGAAGTTATTTCAATTTACAGTTACTGATATTACTCAGAAATAGAAAAAAAGACACGTCGATAGTATTTAAAGGAAAATAAATCTATACGGGTATCGGCCTTACAAAATGACAGGCCTCACAAAATGACAGTCGACATAGACCATGCTGTAGCTTAGGTTCCCTATACATTGAACCCTATTCCTTTTACTGTATGAAAGAAAAAGCATTAATTAACACTTCCCAAGGAATGATAATGACATAGAATCTATATTTCTTACATAAATATGGACGTTTTTGCTGTTCAGTCATTGCCCCGCCTAACTGTTAACCAGAATGGAGACCAAAGTTTTGAATTTAACCCCAGGAAACCAGGTACTACCATGACTTATGTCAATCAAAGACTACTCTGGTTAAATAAAAAAACTGATTTAGTGACTTTGGTAGGAAAAATGACAAAAAAACGACCTAGCCTCACAAAATGACAGTGTTATGCCTCACAAAATGACAGTTTTATTTTATTATACAAAGATGGCATATTTATATTGGATGCCCCTTGCCTAATTATTGGTATTCTAAAACCCAGTAAGCTTATGATGAGCCTAAATGTGTTCGTTTGATCATCAATTTTGATAAAAATGCCTCACAAAATGACACCGAAAGCCTTACAAAATGACAGTGTTTCAGATTGTTTTACTTTCATCATCTAAAATGGATCAGAAACAGTCAATACAAGAAGGAGTTAAAAATAATCATAATCTGACAGTTAACAATCAAGTAAGCATTACAAAAGTGCAGCTCTGATATCAAAATGTTTTAAAAACATTTCAAAACTCAACGAAATAAAGCTTCTATTTTGTGAAAGCAGAGAGTAATACATGTCAAACGTTAACTAAACACTGAAAAGTGATCTATCCAGGCATAGAACATATCAAATATAACCAAATACTGTGTTCAAGTATGAAAACAAAAAATGATTTTTACGCCTCACAAAATGACATTTTTTCAATTTTTTCAAAGTATAAAAAATGTTCCTTTTTTAATATATTCTGGTAAAAACAGAACTGGTATAATATAAACAACATATATATCTAACAGTAAGACACGTGAAAGAATAATGAAACTTTTTCCCAAATCGGATTTGGAGTGATGCCGTTTTGGGTTGTCATTTTGTAAGGCACAATCTCACGCGAAGTTGCCCAACTTTTTTAAACCATCCTTTTTCCTGTAAAAGCTATTCTAATCTTCAATCTATTATATTTATCTAACTGTCCTAGGTGAAATCAAATTTCTATAGGCTGCTGTTAAAAAATGACAGCCGGGACGAAATTGTCATTTTGTAAGGCATGTTTTTTTGGAAGATTTCAAAGATGAGAATTTTTATCGCAAAATTTACGGTTTTTTAATGAAATCAACCCCCGGGAAGAAAAATATACTTGTTGAACTACCTATCTGGATAATAAAACATGAACAAAACTCATTTTTGTGCATTTCAGAGCCATCTCCTTTTTCGTGTCATTTTGTAAGGCCGATACCCGTAGCAATAATAAGTCAAATCTTCATTAAAGCGTATTCTCATTCTCATTATCGCTAATGTCCCCACTCCCCTCCATTATCATTATTGATATCCCCCTGCTGCTGACCGTCAAATTCGAAGTTGTATTGTTGTCTTAACAAGACTTTCATTTTGTCCGCTAATGGGGCTACTGCTCTGAAGGTCAGCCGTAGCTTAATTTCCTGCCCACCGCTTGGTATTGGGGAACGTCTTGGCTTTGCATCTTCAACTGCTCCAGTAATCAATCCACCGTGGACCATGAAATAGTGGCACAGTTTACTCACTTCATGGGCAAGAAAAGTGAGAATCACGGTCCACCCTGAAATCTGATTTCTATAACCAAATTGTGATTTTTATAACGGAATTATGGTAGCAACCGCCAATAAAGTTACAGCCCTCCATCCACTGCTTCAAAAGTCTTCTCTAGCACATATGAGACTTCAGGTAAAATATGATGATCACCACCCCCTTGGAACCCCATAATCTGAGTCGGCGGGTTTTTTTATGACTGGTAAAATTTTTGACCGGGAAAAATATGGCGGAATCTTCCAAAACCCACCACTTTATCCCGGTTATAATAATCCCGAGTAAGGTATGTACCTGCGTCATAAAGCTCAGGTTGTAATGCGCGTAGTGACTCATTACAATGCCACTGGACAATATGGCCATTATTCCGCTCAGTTGTAGACCCTCAGCGAGGAAGTAGGGTCCGTACGCGAACAGGCACACTGTACAGAACTCTAGGGAGGGTGTATTCTGAGGGGAGAGATGAGTTAATTAAATATGAAATTAGTAATGAGACACAGTGTAATACAGGTAATGTACGTGTGAAATAGAGGTAATTTGATTTAATAGTACAGTAATTAGTGATAATTAGAAATATTTAATCGCCAGAGCAGTGTACCTGTAATCTCAGAGTGTGTGTGTTACACACTAGTGTACCTGTAAAGCCATGTGTTTGAGGAGAAGGGAGAGCACTAACGCGAACACAGCCCCTAATAGTCCGCTCACACTAAACGAAAGGAAGAAATCTCCGATAGCAGACCCGATAGCACTTCCTGCTTCCGCGTCGTTGAAGTGTATAATTGTACTGAAAGTAGGAGAGAGGTATTATTAATGGTAACCAGGTAACTATGTAACCAGGTAACTAGGTAACCAGGTAACTAGGTAACCAGGTAACCAGGTAACCAGGTAACCTGCTTCCGCGTCGTTAAAAGGTTAGTGTATGATTGTACTGAAAGTAGGAGAGATGTATTATTCATGGTAATATTATGAAATATGACGTAAAGGCTTGGTGTGTAAAGAATTAAGTGATTATGGTGTTCATTTTGTAAATTGAAACCTCAGTTTTCCAAATTAAGTTGTATTATTAAGAAACTGTTTACACCATTAAAATATTCAAAACCCCTAAAAGAAATCAAGTCATCCTAAAATGGTGATCAGTACAGATCAAGACAGCTAGAGTTAAAATTTGTTTCTCCAAGCAACTCTATCATCGGCTAATATCTTAAGCTTATTAAGATCATTCAAAGAGTTAAGTTTTAAACCTCTACGGGTCAAATCATTCACAATAATCTTGAACAAATTCTTACGATGCGCACCGACGCGCCCTTTACAGTTTGTTGTGACAGCAAACTTTAACGCTAATGCAGCGGGGGAGTCATCAGCACTACGCAAGATATGACCTAGGAGCTTCCACCTTGCTTTAGGGACACGATCTGATAGCTTAACTGAGTTACATCTTAGGTATAAGTTTGCATTGGATATTGTTCCATGAGGCCAATAAATGTTCAGTAATGATCTAAGGTGTTTTCTATGGCAAATGTCTAGTTTTTCTAGTGACTTTGCAGTAGGACACCAACTACTGCAATTGTACATGATGATTGATACAATTTGGGCTTCGTATACTGCTATCTTTCTGGTAACGGAGATATTCTGCTGAGACCAGATCTTGGTGAACTTATAGAAGGCATTGTTCCCAGCAATGCATCGAGCAGCTATATCACTTTCACTACACAACAATGACCCAAGAATCTTACTCTTCCGCCAATCTTCATTTCCACGTAACATGGTATCATCACGACCAGGGATTGTTTCTCCAACAGGAGCGAGGAAAACATGGGTAAATTCTGTTTTCTCTGTGTTAATGAACAGGTTAAACTCCTTGAAGACTTCCTTAGCTATTGGTAGGATAGCTTCTAAGGATTCTTTTTCCACGTTCATGAAGTTACAATCATCTGAATACGCTGACTCCAGTGGCATACCTTCTTTTGAAATAGGGGGATTGGGTATGTGTGGGGGAGACTCTGCTAGTCGATGGCGTAGTTCTATAAGAGCTCCTGCTAGGACAAGAGTGAAAAGCTTGCCGGAGAGACTGTCACCTTGAAAGGACCCAAGAAGACTCTCGAATACAGCAGATAGTTCTCCTTCCACTCTGACCTTGAGCATGTGGCATCCCATACAGATCTTGGTGTAATAATGAACAACAGATTTCTGTGGGGTGCACATTGTGATCAATTGATATCTAAAGCAAGCTCAAAGCTTGGGCTCTTAAAGAGAACCTGTCATTTTACCATGGATAAACGCCAAAAGAGGGCTTTCTACCTTACCATTGTAAGATCAATCTTTGAACATTGCTCAGTTATATGGTGTCCTCAGCGATCGACACACATGTCGAAGTTTGAGGCAATCCAGAAAAGAGCGATCAAATGGATCAATGGACAACAGTTTGATCATTATAGTGATATTGAATTCTATGAGAAGCAGAAGGAGCTTAAAATTCTACCCATTAGATCTAAGTTCATCCATAATTCAATTACGCTCTTCTATAAAATAGTAAATGATTTGGTAAGTATATCTCCACCTGAATATATTACTGTTGTTGAAGCTGGAACAATGAGGTACACAAGGAGCACGGCATCTGTCATTGAAGGACTTGACACCAGCACATATACCTGCTCTATTGTACCAAACTGCGATAGTTTCAGAAACAGCTTCTTTTATAGAACAATGCTTCTGTGGAATGCACTGCCAGCCTATGTTAGACAGACTGAGAAAATTTCTATTTTCAAAACAAAGCTAACTGAATTTCTCTGGTCTTCTGACGTATGCTGGCCTGATTAGATGGCCCATCATGGAATATTATTATATATATATTTTACTTTATGAATGTCATACTCTCTATAATTTGCCCCTCGCACCTGCAGTAGAACGCGCCGTTTTTTCTTTTATGAAAAAACCCGAAAACAAGCGCGTCACGCAGTACGTGAGTGGCTAGATTGTAGATTGTTTTATTATAATATTATTTAATTATGTTATTTTGTTGTTATGTCGTGTAAGTTTGTGGAGTAGTAGCAAGAAGGTATCGTATACATTTAAATTTGTTCTCTTGATTATTTATTAATGATTTTATGTAGGGTCGGCACCAATGTTATTATGGTCTTACCACCGTGTTTTGGTTCAGCCGAAATAAATTTTACCTTGATGTTTTTACAATTTGTTTCTCACTCCAGCTGAGTCTGGTAGTGTTGAGTATCATGAATATTTTTCTAGCTCTCTTTTTCCATGTTTTTGCTTCACAGGAGATATTGTGGTCTTTTTATTGAATATAACTGTAATACATTGATGTAAAGTTTATTTGAATTTTGAAATAAAAAAATGGTGTTGGTTAAGAGGAGTCTTACTAGCCTGAGGTCGTCGTCTGTGCATCCAGCTTTGACAAGAAGGTCAAGTATAGTCTGGCGTTTGATTGTGTCAAATGCTCGAGACATATCTATGCCCATCTTGTGATACTGGAAGTGTTTACGCGTGACAACCGATATCAACATCCGCTCAGCCCACACTAGATCACCACAACTTCTACCATGTTTGTACCCCGCCTGCGTGCTACCAGTGAAAGCATCAACTTTGTCTTCAATTCTCTTCAGTACAATCATGGATAATATCTTACGAGCACCATTTGATAGACATAGAGGTAGTAGTAGTAAACCCGCGATGGGGTGGCATGTGCCTCAATAAAAATATTACAATCATTTATTATTATATCAATGTATCATTAAATATTTCAAAAATATCAATAACGTATGGTTGATCCTTCACACTTGTAAAATATATAAAAATAAAGTTAATCTACACTAAAGAATAAATAATCTATATCATATAAATCAACAATATTAACTCCCCATCTTCATGTAGTCATTTATCAAAGCGGTAGAAATCCAAGTAATTTTAGTACGCGGTGCGCAAGGAATTTCGTTTAAAAAAATGTGTAGGCAAGATAAGCCTAATATAAGCCTAATATAAGTGTGGCAGTGAAAGTTGAAAAATAAGTTGCAGAATAAATTGCAGTGACTGACTGTCAAATGCATTATCGCAGTTCATTTATTTGACTGCACTAACGTTTAGGATTCTTACAGCTGTTATATTATTTTGCTAATATTTTGTTTAAAAGTTGTAAAGGACGAAGTTCTTGTCCGTCCACGAAAGGTTTTCTAGGTCAAGTTTTTGTTTGTCCAGTAAGTAACGTACAATGTTGTCCTTGTATGAATTAATAAACTTATCTTGTAACTTAGGTACGTTGAAGGGAAGGATTTTGTTTATTTCGTTTATCGTGCTGTTATATAATCGTGGTCCTACGTTAGAGATGCTATAATCGGTGATCCGTAATCTGTTGAACTTAATTTCAAAATACTTTGGATTTCTCCTTTCCGTTTGTCTAAGCGGTGATTTTTCAAATATACTACAGATACTCGATGGTGCTACTCCCATATAAACCTTGTGCATCAAAGTTAGACAGCTTTTAGCAATGAGATTAGGAAGAGCCAAAATTCCTATTTTGTTGAAGATGGATTTTGTGTGAGATGGTAGTTTACGTTTTTCTTTGTCGTAAAAATAGTTATGATATTCTGAATCAGTGGCGCGAATAGCTTTCTTTTGAGCAGAGAATAAAGACTGAATGGAATTTAAAGATTTAGTACCCCAAACAGTAGCGCAGTAATACAGGTGAGATTGAATTAAACTATTGTATAGCATTTTTTGAGCTTTATTCGGAATGGAACTTTTAAGTTTCATCATTACGCCTGCATTTCTGGATATTTTAGTCTTTAACTGTTTAATGTGCTGGCTCCAGCTAAGTTTTGAGTCAATAATGACACCTAAAAATCGTTCATGTTCACTTTTCACTAGTCGCTGTCCTTCTATACTAATATTTATATCCTCTGGTAATCTGTTAGTGAATATCATGTATTTAGTTTTTCCTACATTAAGGTCGTAGACTAGTGACAGGACCAGCTGGTTTGCGAGGTTCTGGTAAGGGGGTGATGATGGCTTCACCTATAACATCAGGAAATGAATTGGTCTCCAATGCGCTATTGATGATCTCGGCATATTTTGACCAGAATTTTGTACCAGCATTTTTCAACCACTCGTTGTAGACTTTATCTGGACCAGTGGCTTTGTTGTTCTTGAGAGATTGGGCGGCTTTCTTTACTTCATCACATGTGATGGGTATGTCTAGGCAGCGTCCATCCCCTATAAATGCTTGAAGTGGTTCATCCTCACACGTGAACTGCTTTTCGTAGTAGTCTCTGATCACTTGAGCTTTACCAGCATCTGTGGCAACAAAGTTACCTTCTTCATTGTGGACACTGATAGTAGATTTGGGCTTAGTGTCAGCTAGAGTACGCACAGCTTCAAACATCTGCCTTGTGTCATCTGTTGACATGATGGTTCGAGCGATGTCATCGGCACGTGTGTCAGCAAGGTTCTTGAGATGCTTACGGATGTCTTTCTGTAACCTGTTGATCTTTGTACGGACTTGAGTTCTGTCAGCAACTTGGTTGTTACAGTTAAGTGCAGCTTGCAGGGTTTGTCTCTCTTTTACAAGGGCTTCAACAGTTGAGTCACTACTGAAGTTACGGTTTCTGGAGCGTGGTAGTGTCCCGATTACTTCATCAGCAGTTGTCTTAAGGACATCCATCAAGTTAGTGAGATCATCATTAGGGTTTGATGTTACCTGAGAGTTGTTGACTTTCTGTTCGACTGAAAGTTGGTATTTGACTTTGGTGGGAAGGTCAGTGGTGAGCAGGGAGTTGTTATATCTCTTAACTACTGAACTTATCTTTTTTGTAGGAAAGATTTTGTAGTAGGGGGCTAGTTTGATCTTACAAGCAACGAGTCTGTGGTCTGAGTTAGTAGCAAGACCGCCATATGCTCTACAATCTTGGAACATGAATCTGCTGCGTGTTCTGCACAGAATATAATCTAATTGGGCAAAGACTGGACGAGTAAGTTTGCTACCTTTAGGGCGACCTTTGGCAGAAATACACATAGAGAAAGTAGTTCGATGTCTACAAGGATGATCAAAATAGGTATTGGTAGCAAACAGTTTGTTTAAGCACATGAAGTTTAATAAATGTTCACCGTTGAAATTCCTTGTACCCATTCCAAACTTGCCCTTATACTCTGTTACACCATACTGATAGTCCAAAGGAGATAAGGTTCCCAACTTACTGTTGAGATCACCACAAACAAACAATTCATGAGATGCAGGAACTGAAATAGCATGGGTGAGTTCTCTGTAGAACTTTCTAAGAAGGGCAGGGTTTCCTTCTGCTTTAGGATTAGTCGGGCCATAACCGTTAACAATTCTGATATTTTTAGGATGGGATGAGAGATTAGAAGGAATGACGACATTAAGATAGGAAACCCGGTCTGAGGTATACTGATAGTCTGTGACATAAGGTAGTAATCTAGGACTTATGATGAAACCTAGTCCACCATGTCGTCCTTGATTTTGCTCCATCATGATCAATTTGTAATTGTTTCTGAGATATCTAGTGGAATGATTTTTGACTTTTGTCTCTTGAACGCACAAGATATCAACACTATATTCAAAACAATCCGTTCCGAGTTCTTCCTGTTTCTCCGTCTTAGAGAGCCCTTTTGCATTCAGTGATGCTAGGCTCAGTAAGGAAGTAGAAGAAAACTTTGAACTCATAACTGTCTCTTTCTGCTTTAACGTCTGCTTCGTCACACCAGTTTTCGCTGATGCTTGTGTCACGCGTCACCGTGTCATAAGTTGTATGAATAGTGTAATTCATTTTAATTACTGGAAGTACTTATTCGTCTTCTAAAAATAGGTAAAGTTTCAGCTTACTCTGTCATAACGATAGAGACGGCATCATTCAGTGCTTACTCTGTCATAACGATAGAGGCGGCATCATTCAGTACTTACTCTGTCATAACGATAAAGACGGCATCATTCAGTACTTACTCTGTCATAACGATAGAGGCGGCATCATTCAGTACTTACTCTGTCATAACGATAGAGGCGGCATCATTCAGTACTTACTCTGTCATAACGATAGAGACGGCATCATTCAGTACTTACTCTGTCATAACGATAAAGACGGCATCATTCAGTACTTACTCTGTCATAACGATAAAGACGGCATCATTCAGTACTTACTCTGTCATAACGATAGAGACGGCATCATTCAGTACGCTCTCCCCAAATACCAACATGTAAAGTGTTGGATGCACGTCTATAGCTGAGAATATGGCTAGTGTTGCTACGGGATCAACTGCAGAGATGAGCGCCCCAAAACCGAAACTGAAAGAGAATGTGATTTAGAGCGCTCCAAAACCGAAAGAGAATGAGATTTAGATTAATCAACAGCGGAAATTACAGATGATAATGTGTAGTACACTACTAGTTACTACACTTGACCGGGCCTGCTACTATTACACTACTACACTGCTACTAGAGTTTGCAATTTTTTGAATGCTATTCCCTATCGTACTGCATTGGATATTGAATTGATTTCAAATCTTGAATGAAATTTACTGATTTTAGCGAAAAGTAGTTGTGAAATTTGTCTGGAATTTTCATTTATGGAATAATTATTGCTCGATATTACTCCTTCATCAATATTCAATATTATTATTATCTTCATCACTCCTTCCGACAATAATAGCGTACTTGGGTGTACAAAGTACGTGTATTGACGTGATTATAAAAATGATTATAAAATTATAAAGAGAGGGCTAACTTTATGATAATCAGAAAAGCAATATCATTTTGTAGCTGACCACAAAATTCAAATATGGTATAATAAGTTACACACTTACTGGCCTGCGAATTAGTTATGAGAGAGAGAAGGTTATCTGCTACATATTGTGTTGCAATGAGTGTGACGTAATGAGTGTGACGTAATGAGTGTGACGTAATGAGTGTGACGTAATGAGTGTGTCGTAGTTAGTGTGACGTAATGAGTGTAACGTAATGAGTGTGACGTATGAGTGTGACGTAGTTAGTGTGACGTAATGAGTGTGACGTAATAAGTGTAATAATGTGGAAGCATAATTAAAACTTGATTTTCCGGCGACGGTTAAGGAATAAATACCGCTAATACGTCATTCCGCGCATACTTCGAATTATTTAGCTCAACTAGCAGGAACCCGTCTTTTTAGCTCAATGTTACTCGTTATAACCCAGGTGTCGATAACATTACGATAGAGGATGCAGAACAACAAGCAACAAACAGGATACATTGGAGAGGTCTAATACAAGTACAAGTTAGAGTATAACCCAACTATAGTATAGTATAACTTATAGTATATAGTAAGATAGTATAACCCAACTAACCTTTGCTTCGCTGTCAGTGCAAAGGATATCTTTGCCTGGAAATTGTAGATTTAGTCGGCAGAATCTATTATTAGATTGTGAATAACCACAAACAGTTTATCTTCTAGAATTATTATTAAAATAAAATGTTTAATTTTGATTCTGCCTCATTATGCCCCCCAATTTTGCCTTTTTTGGGTGCCCCAAATGAGGCAAAATGAGGTTGGAACCCCCAACATTCTATTATTAGACTGTGAATAACCAAATATCTTCAAGAATGATTGCATTGTACAATGTACACTTTACTATTTAAATTAATTTGTGATGAAATAATTAAATTAAACAACTCTTGTTTTATTACTTTACCTGTCCTAAGACATATAGCCCGGCTCCAACTGAAAATGCAGAGATAGCTGTACCAATCACTGCAAACAAAACTATTGTACCAAGATTGGAGAAGAAGTTTCCCTGAAGTTATGTTATATTTAATAGTGAAACAACTAATCTAATAGTGAAACAACTAATCTAATAGTGAAACAACTAATTTAATAGTGAAACAACTAATTTAATAGTGAAACAACTAATTTAATAGTGAAACAACTAATTTAATAGTGAAACAACTAATCTAATAGTGAAACAACTAATCTAATAGTGAAACAACTAATCTAATAGTGAAACAACTAATCTAATAGTGAAACAACTAATCTAATAGTGAAACAACTAATTTAATAGTGAAACAAATAATTTAATAGTGAAACAACTAATTTAATAGTGGAACAACTAATTTAATAGTGAAACAACTAATTTAATAGTGGAACAACTAATTTAATAGTGGAACAACTAATTTAATAGTGAAACAACTAATTTAATAGTGGAACAACTAATTTAATAGTGAAACAACTAATTTAATAGTGGAACAACTAATTTAATAGTGGAACAACTAATTTAATAGTGAAACAACTAATTTAATAGTGGAACAACTAATTTAATAGTGAAACAACTAATTTAATAGTGGAACAACTAATTTAATAGTGAAACAACTAATTTAATAGTGGAACAACTAATTTAATAGTGAAACAACTAATTTAATAGTGAAACAACTAATTTCCCCTAGCCTATTTAATATACGTATTACAGAGTATAGATATTTGAAAAGACGTTGGTCAGGTCGATTACAGATAAATTAGTAATTAAACTCTGTTATGATTGTAAGTACCTTGTGTAGCGAGTATCCAGACTCGAATATAATAGGAGGAAGCATAACTAGGAAGAATATAGTGGGATTGAGCTCCTCAGACTCTTTTATCCTACCAATGTTGTAGTGATTGAAAATCTGGAATAGTCCTCCAATGATTGCTCCTAAGGGGACAATTTTGTCAGATGAAAAGTACGGATACTGCGAATATTCTTAATTAAATTGAAAACAAATTATATTTGCGAATATACACGTCAACCAGGTTATAGATTTTAGTAAACTGTGTAGTAAATATTATACATATTATACATATTCTACATACTATACATATCATACATATTATACATATTACACATACTATACATACTATGTACCACCATCTTGTTGTATGGAGCTGAAGTCTGGAACACCACCAAAAAGCAGATGAAACGTTTCGAGGTTTTCCATCAAACCTCCTTGAGAAGGATCCTTAGGATTAAATGGTTCTTTCATGTAACCAACGACGAAGTTCTTAGGAGGGCTGGCATCAAGTCAGTTGAGACTTTCATCAGTGCTGCCAGGCTACGTTGGTATGGACATGTAGTTAGAATGCCAGACTCTAGACTACCGAGGTTTCTGTTGAACTGGAAGCCAAACTATGGAAAGAGGTCAAGGGGCAGACCCCGTAAGAACTGGAAGTCCTGCGTACTCGAAGATGCTGCTAAGTTTACAGGTGTTGAAAACATCGACAACGACACAACAGAAGCTTTGGCTACCAACCGAGTACAGTGGAGACATATGTTACGCCGCCAACGCGATGTGTGTGATGCAGGCCACTCCAACGACTAGGAGGAGACCTTACCATGTAACATGTATGTATACATACTATACATATCATACATATTATACATATTACACATATCACGTCATATTATACATATAGTATATTATAATTATTAATTGGTTAATTAAAGGATTCTGAACTGACCTAATAACACGATAGCAATACTCTCTGGAAGATAATGGAACTTGAACTTGATGAGAAGGTAGACCATCAGAATAGCGACCAACAAAACACACAGAATAAAGAAGATCCTGAAACTGTTCTGACTCTCTTCACTGCTACCGTTATCAATAATAGCATCTGTGTCAGTGTCATTGCTCTTATCTTTATCAGTCTCATCAGTCTTGTTATCTGGTTCCGTCTTGTTATCCTTATCACCCGTGACCAGGACTGTGTCTGCTTCCTGCGTGTTGAAGTGTTGGTTCTCCTCTTCTCCATTCCTCTGGTCCAGATCTCCGTCTCTAGAATTGCTGGCTTAGTTGTGAACACTATTTACATATTTACACCATATTTACTTACTAAAGCTACTAATATGATCCGCTCCGTGCTTCGGCCCTTTTTTCTGTACTAGTAATAATCACAATGTTAAAACATGACAATTAAATTAAATCACGGTGTTTAAACTGAGTTTAAAATACAAAACTTACCCATTGATAAGAACTCCAAGGAGAAAGAAGGAAACACAAAGGAGAGTAAGAAAGCGTTTCTTAACCATGATGATCAGAGTGCCCGGCTATAAGTTTATCTTTAGACACTCTACATTGTGGGAGAGTTGTTTCTTTTTACCACACTGAGATGTACCCGAGTGCCATGTCCCTAAAATGTATAGAATATCTAATAACTAAATTAGCTCTAGTTATAGAAATAAAGCTAGAATCAAGAGATAAAATAGAGTTTGAATGGGTATAACAAAGTATAGTATGTATCAGAGAAAAGGAAGAGATAACTGTAACTTCGTTTCGTCATAATAACACTAATGAAACATCATACATGTGCGAGTGTGATCATAGTACGTTAATGTAATATACATCATATTTTGTTATGATCCAAGGAGATGTGATGACGTCACAAGTGATGACGTCACAAGATGTAGATCCTCAAACAGTAAATAACATAGTTCGATTCATGACGAATTATTCAAAAACTATATAATGTTTCAGAATATGGGCGTTATATGTTTTAAAATCTATATTTGAATAGAAATTAAGTCTGCAGCACAACTAAAAGCTATAAATATCATCTAAAAGCGTAATCTAGACACATTATAAAAACTACAAAAATCTACCTCAATCAGTAGTAAGCCCTTTGATTCAAAAAAGAATAACTCGATTGTAATAATACCCCAAAATGTAAAACAGTTGGCTACTTGCCAACTATTCAACAGAAGCGTTGAAAATATTTCGGAAGCCCTTCACAACCGGTAATGGTCTACAAAACAACAACTTCCAAGCAGCAGCTAAGTGTTCAAGAGAGGGGAAATAGGTGGGACTTGGTCTTACTCCAACTAGTTTAACCTCTAGACTTGAGGTTATGATTACTTGAATTCCGTAGCAATGAACCTGCGAAGTCTTCTTCACGAAACTGCTAAATAAGTCGTGAATCATATGATGAATCTTGCTCTCTGTGACGGGCCATGCTTCGTTTAAACTGAACTCAACGAGGAACCTGGACCATAATGCGGAGGGAAAGTTACTACCGTCGCTTCGAGAAATGTAGTGATCAATAAGATAATGATTTTCTTCCATATCATTGACAGGTTTCCTGCTAATGTGGACAGCGGGGATACTGGAGACAAAACACTTATTGTTCCTTATCACCAAGGTGAACTCAAGGCTGCACTGGCAGTTGTCAATTGTAACCGAGTTCACATAAGGCTGAGCGAAGTAGTTCAAACTGTTCTCGCACATCTTCCCCAAGCGAGCAGGGGAATTAGTTATGACTGAAGCTGCAGCCTTTTCACTGCACCGTAACAGCCACTGCGCTTCCCAGGAAGGTGGGAAAGCAAGGATTGCTGGTAGCTCCTTGTTTAGATGATACCCACTCGGCCACCAACTGACATTTCCGAACGAGCTTCTCACGAAAGTGTTAAGACGAATAAGATTAGTAAAAGTGGGGTCGAAACTATTAACATTTGAGATTCCAGTCCGGTCTTCACGGAACTGTTTCCAGTGACAGATATAGGTCTCCGGCACCTCCTCGCTGGAGACAACACCCTCACTCACTACAACACCCAATTTCTTCAGTTCTGTCTTAGCAACATCACTCAAATTCATGCTGGTTACTATGGTGAGCTCTTCAACATTTTCACTTTCAGACAAAACATCATCCTCAGGTAAATTCCAATCAGTGACCTTGTGAGTAAACGGGGGGTTCAGATTCTCATACTGGGAGGTGAATGATTTGGGGACAGGTTTAGAAATATTGGCAGGATTTGCAGCCCAGATCCTAGCCTCACGCTGCAAATCAGGTTCCCCCGTGTACAGAACACGATTCTTCTCCAAAGTACAGGTTTCCCTGACCTTGATTGTCTTAACTGGCCACAACAAGGTCAACACTTTCCCGCCATAGCAAGACCAGAAGGGAGCTAGTTTAAAGTTTGGGGTCTCACTGTGCAGCATTTTGGAGACAGTCTGAGGGGGAAGGTACCAGTTGTGAGCCTGGGTTCCCTCTGGGGTAACGGCTTGATAAGTTAGAGCATTGTACCACAGCCTGTCTAGTGCTTTGACAAGGTTCTTCCTCCGCTCATATTCTAAGAATCTCTCGCTTATTTTCTCCTCTCCGACGATTAGATTTTGCCACATAAACTCCTCGTTGTCACTCTTCTGGATACTTGCTATGATGTTATCAGTCCCCTTCTCGAAGTACCAGGTGCATTCATCAGGCTGAACTATCCCAGCGAAACTGCCATAAATAATGGGGGGTTGCCCTTTTATCCCAAAAGTCCAGCGTTTGGTAGTGATTTTGCTGATGACATCCCCTCGTTTAGTTCCTGGAGGAACAGGAATAGTGACTGTAATCACGTGCTCCTCCGCGTCATCCTCCCACTTATAGTTGGATGTTGTCCCAAAACCGTCCTCGCCGAGCGCTGCTTGTTTCTTTCTCACAAAATCCTTGTACATCTGCTCCAACTGGTATTCTGATTTCTGATCGGTGATAGCTAACTTGAACTCTGCAAACGATATTGTTTTGTTTTTGTCTTCGAGACCTAAAGCATTGGCGATTTTGTTCCCCTCTGCGTTTTTATTATTACCGTTTAAAAGAACAACTGCATTGACGAGGTCTCCTTTAGCTTCGTTGTAAGCAGCTTTAGCAGCTTCCTCAGAAGAGCCAGTCATCTGTGCTATCTCCTGCATGATATCAGAATTACCACCAGGGATCACTGAGGAGTGTGCTTCACTATCTCCCATCATATCAAGTAACTTGGCAGGTTGGTCAATGTCATCTTCTAACGCAGCAAACGACTGAGCTCCACCATCACCAGTCCACAGGTGGGGCACTATATAAACACAACTGAATGGCTGGTGAGGTTTGGAAGCCACCACTTTCCCATCCCTCACTTCAAGTCCCTTGTTGATGTCGTGGAGAGTGCGCGGCTGTAACTTCTCGTAAACCTGTCTCCACGCTTCCTCTGGGAATCCAACATGACGGAGCTGTTGTTCATGATACTGGACAAACTCCTTGTAACCCTCTTCTACTCCCATACCCATGTCAAATAGGCGCTGCAATTTTATCCACGTTAAATTGTCAGTTACTAAATATTTGAAGTGTGCTCGTTTTGAATTAAACAAATCGTGCACTGTGCTCACTTATAAATTACAATGAAACGAAAAAGCTGTCCAACTTGAATGAGAACTGATTAGTTCGAAGTCAAGAAAACAATCTGTATTACAAAACTAATCAATAAGATAACAATGAGGTTATAATAGAAGTATGAACTAATACCAAATAAAAAAGCTAGTGTAAAAGTTGATGATTCCAATAAATAATCTTACTATACCACAGCTGCAAAAAGCTGGCTTCTATATTTGAGCTTTCAGAGTCATTCCATTTCCAGCTGTTAGCGTCCAGCTTTTCTACTAACTAACCATAAAGTACTAAATCCACACGTTGGAAACATTTACTGTATCTATAATCTTCCTGGAATCTAATATTTAGTCGATCCAAAGATCAGTATATTCCTGTAATAATTTATTGACGGCGCAAATTTTGCTTTGGTTTCGATTTCTGTACCACATAAATAAGTAAATATTTCATCAGTTCAGCAACTATCTTGACAACACAATCCGTCAAGAAATGTAAATAGTGCTGTAAGAATGTAAACCCATCAATAAATAACAGTTCTGCAATGTATGAACCTCTCTATGAGTCCCCCTCCTCCTCTGGGTGGTTCTCCACCTCCTTATAGTAAGCTTCGTCCGACCCCACACTGCTGCTGCTGTTGTTGGCTCTGAAGCTGTGGTGAGTGTTGTTGATGACTGGTGACATAGGGAGAGCGAAGGAAGTCTGCTGCTGCTGTCTGAGGGTCCAGAACTGACCTGATGGACAGTATTGCATCATTTGGATGAGATTGGTTGTGTAGGCAGCCTGGTGGCTCTGGACCGCTTGTACGTACCTGGTAAAACCTTTTATTAGGGCGATCTAAATAAATTTATAAATAGGGCTTTTAAGTTGGGAATCATGCCTATTTGGGCTAAAAATACACCAGTTTTAGCTTTATAAGGCATGATCACTATCTTATCCGTGCAACCCTGGTTTAGTAAGACCTATACAATTTGAGAGATTGCAAAATTATAGACAAGAAAACAAAACCCACTTTCTCTGAGAATCCATGTAATGCTTTTTATTTTTCTCATTATTGTTCCTGATACACCTCTGATTATTAGCCTGTAGCTTCTTGTAGCAGTCGTCTAATTGACTAGTCCACCAAGGTTTAGGCGGGGCTTGTGGGAGGGACCCTGCAGTCCCTACTGGTCCGGATGAGGCCATCATGGTTATATCGCTCTTATCTACAGAGATGAAATGATTAGAGGCCATCATGTTTATATCGCTCTTATCTACAGAGATGATATGATTAGTGTTGACTGAGTTACTCAATATTCCTTGAAATGAACCACAATTCATTTCTTTAGAATAAGTATTGACAAAGTTACTTAATATAATATGAATCACCATATTACCGAATAACTGTTCGAACTTAATTTTGTATTTATTGTCAAAAAATATTAGATTTAAGTGACAAAGATGTTACTCCTATCATTAATCATAACAGATACTAAATGTTTATTGATTCTGTAATGGAATAAACACTACACTTTCTACAATCTACTCATATAAAGTAACCATGGTAACGCTGTATACTCGGTTTCTAGTCAACATATAAAGTGATACCAAGAATACATGCCAAACGGCTTCTAAAACTATGATTGAAACAATGCATCATGAAAGTAAAAACACAATAACAAAATACTTGCATTCACCTATCATCAATAAGTTATCCTGTCATAATAATAAATAAAACAGTACCCCCTGTAAAAATGCAACCTAGAGCTAATAGTTTAAATAGTTAAAATTATATTAATAAGGCTTAAACTTTCTGGCAGATTTCATTTTTGCAATTTTTTCCTTGTCCTCTTGGAATTTCTGTTTTAAAACTGCTAATGACTCTTTACGATTTTCACGCTCCTGGAATGAATATAAATGGATCATCTCTTTTTTCCGTTTGTCCATCTTTTTGTCATAATCCCTCTTTTTCTCCTGTGCTGATTCGACAGATGCTCCAAACTTTGTACTTTTACTAACTGTAACCCAGCCCTCCTGAGTAATTTGTATACATAAGCCAACTTACATTTAAAGAGAAACAACAATAGATTTGACTAATAGCTTGGTAGATCTGATCATAGAGATAGCACAGTAATTTCTTTTTTATACAAAACCCACATGAATAGATCGATAAATCTGCCTCAGAATACCGAAAACAACAAAACTAACCTCATCTGGAGTCTCAGCCATTTCTTTCTCCCTCTGTAACTTCAACTTTTCCCTTTGATCAAATCCTGCCATATATTCTTCACATTCTTTTCTCAGTTCATTCTCATCAGGGTAGATAAGCTGATGCTCTGCAGCCCACTTTCTGCAACCCGTTAAAGGTTTTGTGTAGTCAGTTATGTGGTGTGACACTCCCTGGAGGTGGGTGATTAGATTGTCAGTGCTACATTTGCAAACATAATAATAGTTCATGTTATTAAACATTATTATGCACATATTTTAATAATTCTTAAATAGTAAGATCTTCAATCATACACACATTCAAACAGAATAAACAATAATTTACGATTCTTAAACAAACCATTTTAGCAGCATTCATGAAGCTGGAAAGACCATCACCATTAAGGAACTGAACATATACACACCGGAAAGCACTTGATTTTGAGGAGTCACAGAAAAACTTGCTGGCATTAGGTATATGAAACTTTGGAATAGCTGATGGTTTTGGTTGTGATTTGACCTCAACAACTTCGCCAAATTTGGAGAAAACACTTGAGAAGAAATCATCTGATGCATATCCAGGGACACCCAACAACAGCAACAAATTTGGATTGTCTAAATGGGGACAACAAGGGAGGTAGTGAGGAGCATAGTTTTTGTTCCACGACAGCTTTATCCACTCGTAGGATGCCATACCTGGAACGAAAAGGCAAACTGTTTATTTATAAGAGATAAATTCAAGGTCAATATTGACAAATGAAAGGGATGATGGAAACGTTGGCTTAGACAAGTGAATGTGCTTCTAAAAGAGGCCAGGCTGTGCTGTGGCCCAAAATATTGCCCCACTCAACAGGAAGCTTATCAGGGTTTTCATTTAAAACGTGAACATGTCATAAATTTGCTCATGCGTGAATTCGATTAAATTTTGCCAACGACAGTTAAAAGACGTATTGAATGTAATACCAATGACACTCTCAGCAGTCAACGAGGGCTTATAAAAGCTTAACGGTGCCTGGCTCCTTTCAACAACTGTGCCAATAAGAGTGACAATGTGGTCAGATCGACCATTACCAGCTAGCTGATAGCATGTGCATTAACTCCATTAAAGAATATTTATAATAGTATGTCTGATGTTATCAATTATTATCTGGCGCGAAATTTAGTTGAATTATGTTTATTTGGATGTATATATTTTATTGATTGATTGTGTAAAGCCGTAGAACATACATATTACATTGCGATGAAAACTACATAGAGATGAAAACTGATGCAGGTTTCATCGCAATGTAATGTGTATGTACTAATAATAATTATTGATAAATAATAATTAAAATTCCGCAAATTTTTAATTAGCACTGTATAGTTTTGGATATAGTTAAGGATGTAAACAAAAACGTGAGTACAATGACAGAGTCCTCAATGTAGAAAAGGCTACCTTCACGCCACTGGTGTTCAGTACTACAGGAGGAATGGCTTTTGAGCCTTGAGGCTTCACACTTCCTAAAACATCTTGCTAAAAGTGAAGTGTGAAGTGTTTCAATTATGTAACTGTATAGAATTATTATTATTTTGAAAAAAATATCAGGTTAAGGTCCAAATCACTTATTGCCGTGGGTGGAAGGGTTCTGGTACCTCTGTACCCCCTGATAGAGATTATACAGGTTCTGAGTAGATCAAAACGCAGTCTGCGTCTGACAAATGACATCACATCACAATACCGTTGGCCTTTCTTTAGGCTGATCTTTTCAGCAAGATGTTTTAGAAACTGCGAAGCCTCAGTTGCCATTCCTCCTGTAGTACTGAACACCAGTTGCGTGAAGGTAGCCTTTTCAACATTGAGGACTCTGTCATTGTACTCACGTTTTTTTTGTTTTTCTCGTGAGATTTGTACATCTGTGAGATGCTCTTGTCACTGTTGGACTGGGCTTGAGGGTGAAGTACCCTTACATCTGTGAATGCCCTGTCCAGCGGCGACCAAAACGATCTCGCACTGATGTCCAGTCTTGCACCATCCTGTCTATTTGTTTCATTAGATAGTTCAAGTGTGTGAGGAACAGAGAGAAGCTGGGGTTCTGTTTCAACGTCTTTGCAAACAGTGGTTAGGAGTTCAGCTATTGTATCTCTTAGTGAATTGTGTCTAAGTGAAACGTAGCCTCCGATTTTGCAGGTTAGAGTATGGTTGATATGATTTTGATTTCCACATACACATAGGGGACTTCTGTTCGCTGTAGACAGTGTAAGATTATATCTGAGTGAGAGGGCATCAAAGAATTCTTGTTTGTTAAGGACGTACCCACATGCTTTTAGAGGGAGTGTGGATAACCAAATGGGTGCTCCTTTTTCGCTGTGGAGTTCTAATTGCCTTTGTGTTGATTGGGATACCTCATTCATAATAGTTTCACGTTGGTGTTTGTAAAGCTCTTCCTTACGCTTCTTTACTTTTTTTTTTTATTAAATACTTTTCAAATTTTACAGAGTACAGCAATAGATGAATATAAAATAGAATCGTTCAAAATATCGCCCCCATCTGTAAAATATGATGGGCACCCAAACACGGTAAACACATAGTGAACTATGTCCGCAGTAACTTGGACCCATTACATCGAATTAATCTAAATCCAAAAATTTATGAAAAACTATTTAATAACAAACAAATCCATGGTGAATAACTGTGGATATAGAGTCAAAATTGGTAATTCAATACGTCAAATTCCAGATACATTAGATACAGGTCTGAAATGGTCATTAATGTGTGAGAAGTTGTGCGGGTGAAGTGTGATATGATGTTGAAAGTATAGGAAGGTAGATAAAAAAATTAATAAAACAAAAATAATAATAATATGGGGAGCAAAGAGACTAGGCTAGACTGTTGTTTCACTATCCAATAAACATTTCCATAGATGCTTAGTGACCTCAGCTTTGAAAAGACTAGTAGACACAATCTGTCTTACCTGTAAAGGGAGTCCATTCCACAGTATATGGGTTCTGTAGAAAAATGATTTTGCCAGTGGGCTATTTGAGGTACATGTGGTGTGTGAATTCTAACTTAACTTAGGTAAAATTGATGACACAATAGACAGACTGTCGAGGTGGCAACGTCTTAGTCGAGAAGTGCCCTGATATAAAGAGAGATAGTGAGGCAGCGATACAGGAATTAAATTGTTAAGAACTTTGTGGAAAAAAATAAGATCATTCAAGTCAAACTTTTGAGACAAAGGGAGAATGTCGACAAGCTTGCACTTTTTGACATATTGCTCAGGTGGATAACTGCGGCCCTCTTCAGACAGAATCCATTTAATAGCTCTCTTTTGGAGACTTTCTAATTTATCACTGAGTGATTTATTACAAGGGCGCCAGATTATGGAACAATTTTCGAATTGGCTACGAACCAGGGAGAGGTAAAGCGCCCGGCGACGTTTCTGATCAATGACAATATGGCCATCTCTTCTGACCATACCAAGTTGTTGGCAGGCCTTAGTATAAATTCTGTCGCACTGACTATTCCAACTTAGCTTAGGAGTAACATCGACTCCAAGATCTTTTTCTAACTCTACATACACAAGAGGAGAGCCATCAAGATTATATGCGAATGGAGGAGATAAAGATGGTTTTCCTGAAACAATAAGCACTTTACATTTTGCTGGATGGAATCGCATTTTGTTTCTTAGTGCCCAGTCAGAGAGATAGTCTATATCCATTTGTAAATTAGTATTATCAGAAGATGAATGTATTTTACGCCAGATTTTTGTATCATCGGCATACAAAACAATATCAGTATTATCCGAAAGGCCAAGAGGAATATCATTGATAAACAATACAAAAAGTAAGGGACCAAGAATAGAGCCCTGGGGGACACCAGAATTAACTGAGAGGGTAGATGACATCTCATTACCAATAACCACTCTTTGGTAACGGCCTTGAAGGTAATTGGTAAGAAATTTGAGAAGTGTACCATCAATGTTATATAAGGTCTTTAGCTTATGAAGAAGGATATCATGATTTACAGAATCAAATGCCTTAGCA